AGCTTTGTAGGACTATGTGTGACAAGATACCTTTGAAAGATCTGCTTCACTACATGGAACCCGAGAGTTCATTAATGTTGGAGATTTTGGGAAATTAATTTCTCAGTAATGTAAGTTGATTATTTTAGTGCCTTCTTAATTTATGGCTCTTTAGGTGTCTTAAGTTACAAAACATGAAGTGTCTTACTTGTGGAACATTGGTAGACTATGATGAAGAAAACAATTATAATCTTTTTTTGGTTTTAATAATAATTCCAAATCATTTTTAATTAATAATGAATAATAATTAAGTATTAATTAAGCATAACAGGAAGTACGTCATAATGAGGCTTAATGAATATCGTTATCGTTGTCGAATCAGGTCTGGCACAGGCATAAATCGTGGCTGATTCGTCAATATCGGATCAGGACATTGCCCCAAATCCTCGGTCCAGGCTCGATCATCAGTAATGATTCAGGCCTGTATCAGGACTGGTCCATGTTCCAACTCTTGGGCGTGTAGCTAGAAGTACAAGATGAGTCTTTCTGAGAAACTGGGACCGTCCAGAGCTAAGGAACTAGCCGCCTTCCTTCTCAAGGTAGAGTTCCCAGCTCCTACGAGAAGAATAATGGAACCATTACTGGAAATGGTGAGAAACATTAACCAGCCTGTCTGGAGGTGTGTGTGTGTGTGTGTGTGTGTGTGTATAAGTAATGTAATACCTGAGGACTGAGATATCTGCTTGAGGTGAAGCTGAGGGCAGATATCAAAGGACTCAGGCATTACATTACTGATACTCACCTCCAGACACACACACACTGGTTCTAGTAATGTACTGAACGTGAAGTACATGTAATTATTATAACAAGTCGAGTGAGGAATGTCCATTGATAATTTGAGAGTAAACTGATAATAATGATAATTTAATTTATACAGTGTTCCACAACAGTATACTGAAAATTTACCAATAATATACTGCTACTCTAATTTCTATTTTTAGTTGGTTGGAGGGCAATCATTTGATTTGTCCCAGAATTACCTTATAAGGGAACCGGCTGCACTGTTACTATTAATAGAACTGATACCATCACTCTCCGAAGAGCTGCAGGTAAATATAAATAATTAATAAATTTAATTTTTATTTTTTTAATCATTTTTAGCTTGACTTATGGAGCACTCTTGGTGCTATGTTGCATCAGTGTCTTCACAACATTAGCAGCTGTCATAATATCGGAATGACTGAGAAGTGTTTGGACTATTTAGCAAAAACTAAAAACCCAAAAATAGCGAGTAAGAACCTCTCCTAATGGACACTCTCTATAGCGTACACCTTTATTTAACGGACAGCATCTATCATAATGTTATTGTTTTGTAGATCACATTGGGTCTGTCCTTGAACTATTGTCTGGTTACAGTTTAAGTGTCAAACACTTGAAGTCAATCCTATCATATTTATATAATGGACAGTCTGACACCACATGGGTAAACAATAAACAACAACAATGATGATGATGATGATATTTTTCATCTCTTTTTCATATTAGGCTCCTCACTCAGTATTATTAATTAGTTTATTGAATAACGTTACTATTAATAGAACACCTGATGCTTTCTTTAGCTTCTCTGGTGGCCACGGATCAGTAAGTAATAAATAAATACTAATAACTATTAATAACTAATAATAACTATTAATAACTATTAATAACTATTAATACCTATTATTATTTTTAGGTGTTTGCATTGCCTCCAGTGTCTAAATGGCCTACACAGACTGGGTTTACTGTATCAATGTGGATAAGATCAGAACAAACTTATGATTCACAGAGAGACTATTACAAACCAATCCTCTACTGGTAGGGGGCGTGTACATGTACATGTATATTATTGAAAGTGATCAATATTAGGAGCTAGTTATTAATGGTTATTAATAGGTTTCGTAGTGGGCGTGGTTCTGGTTATTCGGCTCATTTTGTTGGTAGTACGTTGGTACTGGAGACTGTTGGTAAACAGATCAAGAAACCTCAGACACACCCAGTGGACCACGTCTTTCATTCATTTCAAGTAATCACTTTAATTAAATGTGTGGGTGGTAATTACTTTAATTGTATTGTTATTACTGAGCTGAGTCTGAATTCATTTTGGGAAACTATTGACATGGTTTTTTCTAAAAAATAATTCCGAAATCACCCCAAATTTTTATTACATTTTCTGATACATATTGATGTACTTATGCTGTGTAGAAAGTTTGAGCCGATTCCGGCTTCAATTATTAGTATTATTATTATTATTATTATTATTATTATTATTATTATTATTATTATTATTATTATTATTATTATTATATTTAGTGGTACATGGTGACTGTGGTGTACACTGCTCATCGGCTGAGATCCAGTGAGGTCCAATGTTACGTTGATGGAGTTCTGTCATTAACTGCTGAAGTAACACTACCTTTACAAGAAGAAGTAAGACGTGTATATACAAGATATTATTATTATTATTTTATATTCTATTTTAGATTTATGATAAATGTTTCCTCGGTGGCAATCACGTGGCTACTCCAGACTCAGTGTTTCAAGGTCAAATGGCTGCCCTCTACATATGGAGGGTCCCTCTCAGTAGAGACTCCATTGCTTCACTTTACAAACTAGGATCCAACTATAGGGTATGCTACTGATATTTTGAATGCTTGCCCTGTCAATTTTTGTACAGAGTCAGTTCAAATTTGAAGCCGAGGTTGATATGCCATTAACAATGAAGGAACAAAAAGTAAATAAAACAATTAATAAATGTTAAATATATCTTATTATTATATTAATAGTTATTGTTTGATGGCTCATTGTCCAATTCATTAATCATTTCATATAATGCTAAAGCAGTTGATGGTCAGTTGTGTCTTGAAGCTTCACCAACTGAAGGACACAGTTCAGTGTTTGCTCACTCACCTCATGCCACTATGCTTGAGGTAGGTATCATGTGACTATCATGTGATTATCATGTGACCTTTATTAATGAAGGGGGTGGAGCCAGTCGTCACTACATCAATACACAGTGCCCTTCATTCATTAGGAGGAATACAAGTATTGGAATGCTAATTTTTGGTGTTTTTATGATTATTTTTTAAAATTCTAAAGGCGTTGTTCCCATTGTTTTCTCAACTGGATACAGAGCAGCTGGTGACATTGAAAGGGAAAACTGTCATTGATTATTCACTAAGGTATATCAGCTGTATTTTATAAATTTTCACTGCCTTTTTTCTCCCAATGTCTTCTAGTGTTAAATTATTGTCATTAGTTTTTGAATTAGCTCGTAACTCAACCACTTACATGTACCAGCTGGTACAAATGAGCTCACTAATACCTCATCTACTCGGAAAAGTGCGGGAGAATAAAACACACATACACAGCTGCTAATAATTAATGATATTTTTTAATAATTTGTTATTGTTGTTGTTGTTATTATTATTATTGTTGTTGTTTGTAGGTATCTCCATTACATTTAAGTGGAGACTTGCTTTCTGTCATTTTTGATTTCTTACGTTATCTATCAAAGTCTCCATATTCTGAAGAGCTCATCCAACCATTAGTAGTGCAGCTCCTGTTTAATGCTAGTCTCTGGATCAGGGCCAGTAAGAAGGTAAGAGTATACTATTAATATACTGTTAATATACAGTAATATACTGAGAGTGTGCAGGGAATATACTGAGTTGCGATATAAAAACCTACACCTGCAGTTTGACTAACAATGTATTAACTTACCAGTATCATCAATCCTCATGATAACCTCTGTAGCTCTTTATAAAAATAAAGTGATGTAGACATTAATTTCATATTATTAGTAGTGTAAGGTCTTGCTGTTCTTCTCTTCATAATGTCTGAGAGTGCTCCTCTATTAAGCTCATCATCAGTTACTAGTAGATGTCCTTCTTATCTTTTCCAGTTCATTCACTCCAAGGGAGCACTACTGGTGCTATTCTGGGACTTCATGATATCATTTAGTCAGAATTTATTTGTAGTTATTGCTTTATCTTTTGCTGCCTTTAGGGATGATTATTATATCATGGTATTGGTGATTTCCCTTATTTCCTTTATTGCTGGATATTTTGGAGATTTCTTAGTGAACAGATATAAAATTGTTCTGGTTGGATCATATTTAATATTTATTTCAATAATTTCTTTTATAATTATCTCAATTCTTTTACCAACATATAAATACCTGCTGTTGGTACTATATACATTATCATGGATCATTTTCACAATTGTACGTGTTACTCTGTTACCATTCAATATTGATCAGCTCATTGGATCATCAAGTGATGAGCTAACTGCAGTACTACACTGGCATAATATAGGACCTATCATTGCTATTGCTGTTGCTGTTGCAATTTACTCATTTAATATAACAATACTACCTATATTACTAGCTAGTGTTGTCTGTGTATCTACAGTGCTAGTCAGTCACAGTCTCTTCAATGGTTATCTTGATACTACTCCAGTGAATACAGTTAATCCGCTCAAACTGATAGTTAGAGTATTGTGTTATGCCAGGAAGCACAAGTATCCTGAGAATCGTAGTGCTCTGACCTACTGGGAGGAAGAGGCTCCTTCAAGACTAGACCTGGGTAAGGATAAATATGGTGGACCATTCACAGAGGAAGAGGTAGAAGATGTGAAGACTGTTCTTAGATTAATACCACTGGTGATTGTTTGTACTGTGGTATCAGCATTTTATGAAAAAAATCCTGTAGGACTAAGGCTTCAAGCATATGGATGCAGTTACCCTGATAGCTTTGACTTATCATTTTGTGTAACGTATGTGTCTATCATTTTCCTCCATCAGTTTCTGGTATATCCGTGTTTTTATAAGTACATTCCTAGTATGCTGAAGAGAATAGGAATGGGTCTGCTACTAATATTCCTTGTTAATATTCTTAGCACTGGACTAGCAGTCATTGGTAATTATCAGTTTGGACAAATTTTTGACTGTCTCACTGCTTTAGATGTTAATTCATCAACTACTCATCATCAGTGGATTATCTTAATTGATATCATTGATGCAGTTATTTGGTATATTTACAGTGTTGTACTGATTGAGTTTATACTTGCTCAGTGTCCTAAATCAATGAGGGGAACTATGATAGGATTGTGGTTCTGTATCTGGGGTTTGAGGAACACCGTTCAATTTGCATTATTACTTCCATTTCTTCATTACATGAGTCCAGAGGTTGCATTGCGCCGTGGATTTTATTACCTTCTTACCCAGGCCATTGTATCCTTATTACTTTTTCCTTATTTATATATTTCTTGCTAAAAGATACAAGTTA